ATTCCCAATCTGAATGGGCAGGCAACAACCAGATATCATGTACAAATAAAAACAAAACAAGGAAGTAAAACATATAACAAGATGTTAAGAACAACTAAGGGTGAAAAGTAGACTTGAACAAGTTGGTTTTAATCTGTTTGTGACATGCAAGCAGGGTTGGAGCCATTCATGCTTCCAGAATAGGGGCCACCACCGAGAAGGCCCGTCAACTAGTCCACACCCCATGAAACTCACAAGAAGGGATGATCTTCAGTAGGGCAACTCTTGGCAAAGCATTGCCTGATATACCTTGTTCCTACACCATGCGAGGGTTTAAAGATAATAACCAGCACTTTGAACTGGGGCCAGGAGCTTTCAGGTAACCGAAGTGCAGAGACCTAAGAAGTTTCATTTATAACGTGTCTGTCTACCCAAAGGCAACTCAAGGCAATTACATGAGATGTTTCAGAAGACAATGCCTCACACATACAACCTGGCTCCTTCCTCAAGTTTGCTACCCTCCAGGTGTGTGGACATGCTGATTGGGGAATCCTGAGAGCCAAAACCCAATATCTGGACCATAATCTGGTTGGGGAAGGCTGTCCCAGGAGGACATGACAAAGCAATTTGACTGATTCTATCTCATATAATTTACATTCACGTTTCACAATCCAACTGTTGAACTAAAAGTCGATCTTGGCTTCCACGTCTCTTAATTTAGAAAAAGAGTTAATTTGGTATTGAGGTAAAGCATGAATTAGGAACATAGCCTTAGGTACCTGCTGCCAAATAGCTCAGTGGGTTGACTTGGAAGAAAGCAACTTTGGTTGGTCTTCCCAGAGGAAACCCATTCAATGAACAAACTTGAACATCTGGGAGTTAGAATCCAAAATATCCAGGAGGCATCAAGTTGGGGAAGTCTCCATGCTTAGAAGCAGGGTAGATCTACTGTGAATCTCAGCAGGACACAGACAACAACAGAAGAGCATTTTCATGGAAGCCAGCTCTTGGCTTCCCCCAAACACCTTGTTGAAGATGCTGAGCTAGTCAAAGTTTTGGCCTCATCCCACAGCATTCTTTGTATCTGGGGCAAAGAGTTCCACCCAGGTGCACTCACTGCTTCACCAGCTGAAGCTCTACATTGCACTGTAGGGATCCTCTGCTGGTTGCTAGCTATGAACCCGTCATCCTGAAGATAAATATGTTCTCTTTAAGCATGAAGAGTTTAGGTCTTAAAGTTCAGGCAGGTGTTTGTCTGCCAGATTTTCATAGTGACAGCTGAGTAGGTGGCAGGTGAAATGAGGCTTTAAAGCTCTGGAGGACCACAACGTATCTTATCAAGGAATGCCTGCTATTGAACATGTTGCATAGAACCCAATTTGGACATTATGCCAGTGACCTTTGTGTTAATAGAAGGGGAGAGAAGTCATCTGAGCATGCCTGGGCTCTCCATGCACTTAAGGCTACATATTTAATTCAGTAGATTTCTTCTCCATAGAGATGCCCCAGTGTCTCACTAGGGCAGTGTTGAAGGGGACCTGATGGAAGAAGGTTCTTTGTGATATAGGGCAACATCACCACCCAAGCGTTCCCTTCCCTGTCCTTCTTGTAGAGTTTGCATCCAGAAATAACCACAGCCAGAGACCACAAATCTGATTCTGTTTTCAGGAGGTGCCCAAACTTATCTGGATTGGAAACTACATGTCACTGGGCATGGTTACTTCTTGGATGGGAGATCTCCAGGGAACGCTAGGTCTGTTGAGCCAGATGAACAAGTCAAAAAACCATTGCAGAAGGCGGCCCTGGCAAATCTTTTCTATATTGTTGCCAAGAAAATTGCACAAATATATCCACGTAATAACTCACAGTCTGGTTTGAGTCAAAGACTCCCTTATTTTTTCTCTCTCTCTCTCTTTAGCATCAAGGATTCCAAGTCTTCTGTTTTGGCTCAAACACTTCTAGAATTTGTCCAGAAATACACAGAATCCAGCTGCAGTTGTCTTTGGCAGGAGGTTTTATCCTAGATCTACACAACTCCACGTGAGCCATCAGAATCATTTTCACCCACCTTCTATAGGGATGATAGTTTCCTGAATTCCACGTTCCCCCTTTCCCAACAAGATCTCTGAGAAGGTTCCTCCACTGCCTTTTTGATCCTAGGCACCAGCACTTGGATTCCAGCATTGGTGGAAGTGTTGCTCACTCTTTCTTGAACCAAGCTGTCCCACATTTCTAAAACCTTCCTCCTTGAAATATTGCTTTTGAGAGTGCATTAAGTTTGCTCAACCATCGGAACAAGCTGCCCTTTGAAGAAAGTTGCCTTGGCAGCCCCCGTTCCCAACCACAGCTACATATAAACTACAGCTTGAACGTTGCTTGCTGTTGAATCGCATGACTACATTTCCTCACCTCGTTGGTGCTGGCATGTTCTGCACGCTCTGACTCCTCTCTCAAGTACCACCTATCAGACAATCTAGACAATGCCTGATCTCTCTTTACATTTTTAAGAAGCTGAAAAGTGAGATATTCCCAGTGAATAAGAGGCCAGCAGGGTTATACAGGCTAAGACTGAGGTAGACTGGAAGTTAAGCACCAAGATTTCCAAGAAAATGAAAGTGTATCATTGAAAATTGAACGATGCAAAAAAGATATGGGCTAGGCTGTTAATAGGACATGGACCTTTATGATCATGCCACTTTGATTCTGTATTGATTCTCCCAAATGTATTGGGAGTCACAGTTCTGATTCCCAATACATCTCTTGGTTAAATTTGCAGAATTTGATTTTTGAAATCAGGCTATCTTGAGATATGCTGGTCTGTTCCCCACAATATTCAGCTGCAGCTTTTCACCAGGTTCCTGCGGCAGCACCTTCTCAGTAGTAGCTCTCCAACTGCGAGATGTTCCCTCCGAGGAGGGAGGCTTAGAATATCCTGTTAGCATCATTTGCACACCCTCACTCTCTTTCACATACACACGCACTTAATTAAGTTGATCCGCCTTCCTTGGCTGATTGTTAGTTTTTAACACAATTTCTACCATTTCAGGGTATTTGTGTTTGTGCATAGCAGGTCTGAAAGCTTTCCATCCCGTCAGAAAGCCGAAGGAGCAAGCAGTAAAAATGGAAAGAGAGGTACCCTACAGTGAAAATGTTGGGCGAGTTTGACTTGGTGGAGTAAAATTGGCAGAATCTTTTAAAAGAACAGGAAATCTTTTGGCAGCTGGAGATAGGAAATTATCAGGGATTCACAAGCAATGCCAATTTTAAAAGATCCCCTGTTCTGCACAGATTTTAGCCCTGGAAGCAGCAATTCCCTTTTTCAACTAAAACCCTAGTTTTTGGGTTGGTTAACATGTCATGCTCTGGGCAAAGTTATTTTTAAGTACTGTAAATCTCCCACTTTTATTCTCCGTGCTGATGTCATAAGCTATGAGTCATTTTGAAAGGAAACACACAGCAGTATATTAAAAAAAAAATCATGGATCTTCTCATTTATGTTTAAAACCCGAGCAGCACAAATTTATGATGATGATTTAAGGCCTCAAGCACTTGAGTCTAAAACGAAGTTATGATAAACCATTTTCCTTTGGAAAAATGCAGCAAATTAATAGAGTTTACCATTTCAGAAGTGTTATGTGTGAGGGTATGTATATTGTGTGCATGAAAAGAAATCAATTCAGCTCAGTGGGGGAAGTTTGCTATATCCCAAAGAGTCACAAAGCAACGTGGTCCCTCCATCAGAAGAAGAGGAGGGGTTCCAAGTCCCACTTCTCAGGCAAAACCAGAACTAGTGTTAAAGTTGTCATTGGTGTGGTGGTTAAGGCACCAGGCTAGAAATCAGGAGACCACAAGTTCTAGTCTTGCCTTGGACATGAAGCCAGCTGGGTGACTCTGGGCCAGTCCTCTCTCTCAGCCCTTGGAAGAAGGCAAGGGTGAGCCACTTCTGGAAATGCTGCTAAGAAAAGTGCAGGGACTTGTCCAGGCAGTCACCAAGAGCCAAGACTGACTTGAAGACACCAAAAATATATTGTTTGGTCTGGTGGCTAAGGAGCAGGGAAAGCTGAGTTCTAGCCCTGCCTTAGGCATGGAAGCCAACTGGGTAACCTTGTGCCAGTCGCTTCCTCTCAGACCTGGGAAGGAGGAGGCAAGGGCAAGCCACTTCCCAAAATGTTGTCTAGTAAACTGCAGAGACTTCTCAGATAGTCAGTCGACAAGAGTCAAGACTGACTTGAAGACACACACACAGGCATAGTTTCTGGGAAGTGAGGTCAAGGATCTACAGATGGTAAAGTCAAAGCCCTGCAATACTTTAGTTACAGAGTCCCAGGAAACAGCAAAATGTGAAGGGCGAAGTTCTCTAGGCTGAAACCAGATAATCTCGAGGATACTTCAGTCCACAAGATCCACCCAATAAATTCAGGAGCTGAGGTACAGGTGGAAGCTGCTTTGGATCCTGTTGCTCAATTTCCATCTACCATTTTAAGGAGGAGGGCACAGAGAAATTGTGCTTGGCATCATATCTCGTCCCCCATATCCACACTACCCAGATTTATCAGGAGAGAACGCACCCTGAACCCATGGGAATCTTCACCCAAAGCTGGGCCACTGAGAGAAGCCTGAAGCAGAAGCCACTCAGGGCAACATCTGGAAGTCTTCTTTCCAACCAACCAGGGTTAGGTCAAAGGAACAGGTTAAGTATGAAGTGCCAGAAAGGAAACAAAATATCATATATTCTAGCCACTTGTGGAAATTGTCTGGGCTTATATGCTTATGGCAGAGGAGAAAACAGCACCCTGAGATGGGTGGCCTTGTACCCCAACAGTGATCTTTTCCTCCAGCCTCCTGAATGCTTGCTATCCCAACCACAGCCTCACTCTGACTGTTTGCCCCTCAAGAGCCAAAAGGAATAACTAAAAGGTAATGTTCTTTAAAACATGTGCAACACATCTGCCAAGTTCTTGCCCAGATATGAGCTGAGACGTATGAAAATAAGCAGAAACACAAGGTTTTATAAAGGGATCTGGATAATTTATTAAATTAAAACATCACACATTTATATTTAAAAGAGCTAATTATTCTAAGGTTGTGTTTATGATGAAGCAGTTGTACGGGAAGTGGAAGGAATGTGTGATGAATGTACAGATCCATTGCTTACAAAGTGCACATCAGGTTATAGACACAGGAAGGATACGGGGTCTTATCAGAGCATTGAGGCAAAAGAACGACCAAGAAACACAATCCAAATGTTTAGCAAAGGAGCAGAAAGAAATATGACCCAATTACACTTCCAATTCCATCTAGCAACATACAGGGAATCCTTCCTTCATCCTGGTGGGTGTTTTCAACTGGAGGAGTTTAAATTTAAATGGACTATCCCAAGGGACCATTTTGGCTAGTTTAAGTTTTGACTCTTGCATACTTGTTTCAATGGATTGAAAAAAAATCATTCCTGTCTCTCCCCCATCACTGATTGCAGTCCTTTTCTATTTGACAGTCATTGATTTCTTCCTCTCCCCTTCCTGCCCTGAGGCTGTAAATGGTTTTAATAACTTCAATTTCATAATGCCTCGTGACAAAACACCATCTGCTTGCGTTGGCTACAAAACACTGTTTGCACAATCCTGCTGAAAATGACAGGAGTTACAAGTTTGGTTTCAGAAGAATACACATGTCAGGGGTTAATGGGAGTTTAATGAAAGTTGTCAATAAAACCAGTTATAATGTGGGATTTTGCATGTCGCACCATCATTCTGTAGAGCCTCCAGACTATGCTAAGAAATGAGCAGATCTTGGTGGAATAACTTACACATGCCTGGCCAATGCGTTTCCTTCTTGGCCTAAATCAGCAATCAATGTCTGAACTATGTCACTAATATCACATGGGGGTTATGCAGATAGACTGGACAACATACGAGAGGCTGTATTGATGCTGTTAATATATGCACAGTAGCAGATGTTTATACAAATATCCTTCATTTCTCACTGCCATACTTCTATAGGGCTTGGTGACAGCCATCTTCCTGACTTCCTGAACTTTGCATAATTGAATCTGGACTTCTCGGCCCACCTATGCCAGTAACCTTCTGACACCGCTGATGATCATGGTGTGGTGGGGTTTGGGGTCTTTTATTTTTTGAAGTGACTTAGAACTCAGCCTTCCTTATGGATGGATTTTTACCATGAAGGATAAAGTTTAAAGTTGGCAATAGTCCTTTCAAAAGACATTGATGACCAAAATGCCATTTGAGACACAAATCAACAGCATTGATCCAACCTGTTTATCAAGAGCTTTATTGAAAATCCCAGATTCAATATTAAAAGAGGTTAAGTATTGGCACTGACTAAGAACTGGAGGTGAACGATTGCTCTGGCAGAGAGGTCTGGAAGGCAAATCCAAGAGCACCTTTTAAAAGAGCAGGTGGGGAGAGCTAAAAAGGCAGAGCAGAATGACAGGCCATCTGAGATGCAAAACTAAAAGCAAACGTCATTTCCAACAGACTTGCTGAGGGGGGGATGTATTTAGTTCCTCGTCATTTTTGCAACTCCTATGATAAAATGCCAGAAAGGCAGTGGGGGGGGGGGACTATGCAAGTGAAAAGAGAGCGACCCAGTTCTTGGCTCATCCATGCCAGAGGCCATCCAAGAACTACAGCAGGGGGGCATTTCCTATGGGCTGCACAAGGCCCCCCCAACCCTGTTTCAGAACACCTAGTATGCCCCCCTCCCCCAAAGGCTACAGAACCAAGATTGAGCCAGAACATAAGGAATCAGTTGGACAGTCTTACATTCAGACCAGTCCAAAGCCAGCAATAGATTCCAAAGTTCAGCCTTTCCTATTTTAACCTGTAATCTCATCCTACAGAAGAGGTCTAGGACATAATTTAACTTTGCAGTTCTTCTTGTCTTCCTACAACCTCATAAAACAGAAGAATCTCAGCCATCATGCCTGAAGAACAGCAGCTTTTGATGTGCTATGAGAAACCAAGCCCTTCTCCACTTCACTGGTCTAAACCAATGAAAGGTTGACCCGCTGTTCCACCACCAGAACATCTTCAGGCCCACGTCAAAGGGCTGGTGCATGACCAGAGGAAGGAGGAAGACTCAGAGGGGGGGCAGGAGCCTACAAGATCTGAGGGTTGATCCCACAGTGGCTACGTGCTTCCTTCTCTAGCAGATCACTAAAACAGGTGTAATGCTTTATCTTGTGTGGCCTTTGCGCTACACAACAGACAGATCTCCCTGTTGTCCTTCAGGCCACTAGCTACCATTCTGATATAACAGGACAGCTACACTGAGTGGAAAATGACTGCTGATCCTGGAATTTGGAGTCATTTTCTTACCAATTCTACATCTTTTTTAAATAACTGAGCAGCAGCAAGAGGAAGCATCTTTTAAAAACAAACTGAAACAGATACAGCATGAATAATTAAACTCAGAAGGCGAAACATGCATTACCAGGGGTGAGTGGAAATAATTACTGATTTGTCTTTATTTACAACATCAAGGAGTGAGGTTGCAAAAGAGAAAAAAGCCTTTAGTCCAAGAAAACACTTAGTGAATTAATTTCGCCCTACAAGTCTGGTGCTTTCTCTGTGGATGTGGACCATGAACGTAGCAGCTCAGATTGAGAAGATACCCAATTTAGTTAAGAAAGTAAGCAAAAATTAAGAAGAGGAGGGGGAGTGGCATTTCAGGTAAACTACATCCAAGGGACCCTTGATTTATTTTTCTTTTTTAAAGAATCATCTTCTATAAAAGGTTAATTAACTGGAAAACAATCATTTAAGTGTAGAGAGCAACTGTATGTTACCTGCCTAAAAGACCAGTGAAACAGTTCACAACCCTTGATGGAAGCTCCCAGCAATGTATTGGGGGTATCTATGGACAGCCCCTTCGGTTTCAACAGGTTGCTTTCCCAATGGAAAATCATACAGCTGGAATGTGCTTTTCTAAGTGAGGCAGAGAGAGATGAAGCCCTGGAAACCAGTTTTCACAGCTAAAAAATAAAAATCAATAATGAAACACCAATCCTTTTCACAATGGCATGACTCTCTTTCCCCCTTCAGCAATGGAATCCTGTAAGAAAGTCCACGGGGGGAGCAAACCCCAGAAACGTTCCACTAACACTCCATGCAGCTTATTCAAAATCTCTAACATGATTCAGAAGTCGGAGAGGGAGCTACCACGTTCAATTTTCTAAGGGGAGAGAGGAGACAATCATTCGTCAGACAAATAATTTAAAACCAATATCCTGACATGTAAACACGTCCCGAGGAGAAAGGGAAAAGAAGAAGGTCCTCGGATTCATCCTGGCGGTGGCGAGCGCTGAGCCCATCAAATGAAAAAGATTTCCTCCAAAATCCGGCTCTCTTCCAAATCTGCCACCCCGTTCTTGGCCCTGCAGGGCCTCCAACTCCAACCAGGTTTCCTGCAGCTCCTGCTCTGTGGCTGGATCCCTTCGAGGAGGCTGTAACTTTCACCACAGTGATGCTCCTGCCTTGGGCTCATTGAAGTCACCAGGTCTAAGAGAGAGGTCTCGTACCTGGAGAGAGAGGATAATACATGAACTTGTTGCATAATGTCCTCCATGCCAACTGCTGAGGGTTCCTAGCACTCTAACTCTTCCACTGTGTAGGGCTAAACTTCTCTTCTCCTCTGCCTGACCCATTTCCTTTATTGGCCCCAACAAACAACTTGATACACAGCCCCCAAGACATTCTAGTTTACTCCATCAGGGAGATTCCGCCCACCCCATTTCAGAGAATCACAGGGTTGGAAGAGATGCCAGAAGTCATCTGGTCCAATCCCCTGCTAGGTGCCCAGGTCTTTGGAAGGAACTGGTGTTAGCAACGAAGGAGTGACAGTAACTTTTCATTCATCCATCTCTAGAGTTCTGAATGATCATTGATAAATCAGCAGGTGAAACTGAGGATATTTAAACAGACCCGCTTCAGCATCACCATACATTTTTTAAAAGGTTGGGTTTTGTCAGCACTTTTTGATAAACCAGACCATGAAATCAAAGTCATGCACACTAACCCTACTTTTGTTATTGTGATGGAATGGCATTATGAAGGCCAGGCTCAGGGAGATTAGCGTTTTCTTAGTTCACCGAGAGAGCGTGGGAACTACAAGAGGATGAGGCTGGCACCTCCCTGAGGAATTTGCGGTGTTGTGGCTGGCTGGCTGGCTTGGGAGCTGGGGTTTGAGTCTGGGAAGATTCTTGCTAGAGGTTGTAGCTAAT